GAACCTACAGTTACAAAACGTGGGTCCAAGAGAGTGCCACTTGTTGCTCTCCTGGGGTTTAGCATCAGTCATTCTAATGGCAGCCAGAAAAGGGTCTCTGTGATGATGAAATGAAAGCAGTTTTGTTTTGGTTGTGTTAAAATTTACAAGACATTATTTTCCCTAGTGAACCACTGATTTAGGGTCCTTTTCGAGAGCGGTTGCCAGTTTTAATTTGTCGGGTCAGTCGCGCTAACTACGAAGACAGGAGTAAATAATTGTGACATCTGCATAGATATATAGTTGAGAACTGATGACATCGAGAAGGCTGTTGATGAAGATCAGAAACCGCTTGGGTTCGAGGATAAAGTCATAAAAAACATATTTAGCGGGTAAAAATTCTGAATTGACATGAATCTGATGTCAACAAGTGACTGAGAAGTTCTATTAAAGAAAATATGTCTGTATTCCAATTTTTCTATCTGGGAAATTTCCCCGAAGCAAAGTGTGTCCTTACCAAGTGTACGCCATTTTTTTTTTAAAAGGGATTTAAATGGCCTATAAATAGAAGACGACCTAACGACTTTCTAAGAGATGTTTATATCAGCAGCATAGAAACTTCCATTATGGCAACAAATAAAAATGTACTTCGTGCGCGTGACACTAGCTGACAACCGTAATGACTCGAAGATAACAATATTCTCGTAAATCGTATGGTGAACAATATATTTACACCTGTCTTAACAATAGAGCTAACCAAGTAGCACGCTTAAATTCATGTAAATTATGTACTAAAGAAACAGCACATGATAATAGTTGCCATGAAAATATTTACCTTATGGAAGACGTCTTTCGCTATTCCAATTTAGCATTGAACTTCTAATTATAATATTATTTTAACTCAGTGAATTATATTGGTTGTAAAATATTTCAATTCATTTTTCATGTAATATTTCTCTTGACAACAAACTTTGTGCAAACTAAACGCGAAGTGGATCACAGAAGCTCAGACTTAAATTCTGACTTCTGATTGGCTAATGTATGTGAAAATTGTTACAACGCCTACGCATTTATGTTCAAAATTAATTTACCGCCCCAAAATTTCTGAATAGAACTAAACATGTTCACGAGCCTATCACATGGCCTACAACTAAATAAATACTGGGTGACATTTTCAATCCTTCCTTTCCAGTTTATCAAGAAAAACGTTTTTCTAACTCGAAAATTTCAAGGACAAATAAATTCAGGATTTCAAACAAACTGAAGTGCTGTTTTGTACGGTTGTTGTTAAGCATATATAAATTCCATTTATTTGTGCAGCTTTTCTTGTGGTATGTGTTCTTGTTTGCTTATTTCTTGTTAGTGTTGTTCATGATGACGGTCGTCTTTGAGTATAGAATCCAGAGGTTAGCAGTGAATATTTCGAAGACAGTAGGAAAGCGTTGTTCAGGTTAGCAGTGGATATTTTGGTAAAAGTAGCAGAGCGTAGTTCGTCCTTCTGTTTCTCTTCGCCTGACAAGCTGGAACTAGACATTCGTGTAGGGTAAACAAAATGGCCGCCTTTATACACGACAGATTGAATGTTCTACGTCTTCTGATTGGTTAACCTTCTATTGGTGGACTATAAAGTGAGTCAAGTCATTTGGGCTAGCTCACTAGTCATATAGTATACACAAAAACTGCAACAGCTAGCACATTTAGTAAAAAATAAAAAATATAGTCCGCATTGATCCGAGGCGATTCAACCCGTTACAACAATACACCTTCAGATGCAGCGTCGTGTCTTTCATTCTCTGTGAGAAGTATTCATTGATATTTGCTCTTGTTAAGCTAAGCAATTATTATCAAACAGGAAGTGTTAGTTAGAAACAAAGAAAATATTAATGAACTGTTATTTAATACCGGTTCTGTGGGTAATTCAGTTCCCCCGTCGTTTTCAATGACTGAAATGGATTAAAGTGATTGCTTTCGTCCAGTCCTCTTGTCTACCAACTGAGCTGTTGCTAGTGACTTCTTATTCTCTCAGTCTTGTTAGTACGTACGCCGTCACACCAACAATGCGTCTTCTCTCGTCTTCCTCCCAGAATCGCTATTTATCCCGCGTCGGGGGGGCAACTACAATTTGCATACGAGACTTACTTCTCGTTCGCCCGAGACTTCCGGTTTTATAAATTCAAGCTGGTTTGAATTCTTAGTATTTTTTTTTTTAATTTTTTCGTTTGTACGTCTGCCCGCGATATGGGAATTTCGGAATAATCCATTTCTCTTTTAATGCCAGTCGCGATCTTTCAACAGGACCTGACACGCCATGCATATTCGCTTTGCTGGAGGCAAGTCTTCTCGTTCCTCACCCGTTACAGCAATACACCTTCAGATGCAGCGTCCCATCTTTCATTCTCTGTGAGAAGTATTCATTGATATTTGCTCTTGTTAAGCTAAGCAATTATTATCAAACAGGAAGTGTTATTTAGAAACAAAGAAAATATTAATGAACTGTTATTTAATACCCGTTACCCTATAC